TGATAGCACGGTTTCTCTTTAGCAGTTATCTCTTCTTTATCAGATGCCACACACTGAATAATTTGATTTGATCCATCTGGTACTGAATCTGATGCTTCTTTCCTTATATCCTGAGGTAACCCTGTCAATTGTTCTAGCCACTGATCTTGTAGTCCCTCATAAGATTGCTCCATTATTTTCATGATGATGGTAAAGTAAAATGAATGAATGACCTTGGTTTTACTGTTACAAAACCTTTCATTAATTATTTACATGTTTTTATATTTAATGTATATAACAATACTTAAATAAAAAAATGTAATGTAAATGCAAAAATGCATAAATGTCAAATATAAGAATGCAAAATGTGCAATTCAAAGATGTAAACATAAAAGTATAAATACAAAATGAAAAATGCAAAGATGTGAAATGCAAATGCATGTATGAAAAGGTGTTACTCAAGAGTGATCATCTTAGTACAGATTTCATTGAACACAAAAGCTTCGGTACATCAAACAAAACTTTTATATGTAGAGGATAGCTTTCACTCCTAACTTCTCTATTTCCCTTAAAAGCCAAATTAACTTCCACTCATGCTCAGGTGTGGAGTTATCAATCTGCTTTAATTCTCTCACGAAGCCAGCTATGTCCACCAGCTTATGAGCCATGTTGCTTGCTTGAACAGCAGCTTCCTTCATGACAGTGTCTTTTTCCTTCATCTTCTGTGTCAATTCCCGGAGTTGTAGGCAATGTTGCTCATTTTTCCTTGTAAGGGAATCTTTATGGTTACAGAGTTCTCGTACAAGATCTCCAAAATCATCTAAACATTTCTTCAATGTCTTGTTCTTGTCGATAGTGGCTTTTAATTCAGTATCAATCTCATACTGATGAATCTGATATAAAACTTCCATGTTGGTCATAGCACTATTCAACATTTGATTTTCGACTTGAAATCTTTTCAATTCACTAACAGACGTATTGCATCTTTCTTCTGCAACTCGTGAATTATGATAAAACTTCTTAGCTCGTCCTTCATGTATGTTACAGTTCTTCTTCAATTTGGTGACCCCTGTTATCCACTCTTCTGGGGTGTTCCCTATATCATCATTTTGAAAGGCTTGACTGACCTTCTGGAAATCTTCCTGTATGCTTTCCATTTCGGTGATCAATTTATCGTTTTGATCATTCAAATAACATATTTGAGCTTCGAACCTCAGCAAATCTTCTTCCTTCTGGACGTCCCTACTGATGCTATTACTTTTGAATACATTTGGTGTTGATCTGGAAGGATCTTCAATTACCAAACTAGGTTGATCATTTATCATAAACTGCAAGATTCCCTTATCCAAAAGACTTTGGACTCGAAGTTTGAAGGAAAGACAATTCTCAATGGTATGTCCTTGAGCTCCGGCATGATATTTACAATAAATATTGATGTTATACCAATTCGGATACGGAGGTTGGAATGATTTTATATAGTACGGGGTCACTTCTCGTGCTTCAAGTAGTTTTTCATACATATCTTTATATGATATAGGGATAGCATAAAAATGAGAACCGCCTTTTACCTTGGATTGAACCTGAGTTTTAGACGTCGGGAGCAGACTAAACTTCGTTGATTTCAGATTATATGATTTCTTCTCATCTTTGGGAGCTTTTACAGTTGTCACCATTTCCTGAATATCTCCAGACAACTTGTGAATACAAATAATGATTGTCTGCAACTTCTCAAATCGGTTAGGATCAGAAGTCCCTTGCATATCTGAAATTGCAGGATTATCTTCATTAAGCTTTCTCTATTTCTGTGCAGGAATCTCTTCTCTTTTGGCCAAAACAGATATTCTATCCATCATCTTGGACATCTGCTCTCTTATTTCTCGTATCTCCTTTTGCTCTTCAATGGGCATACGATATTTGGATGCATAGCTCTCCTCTATCTTCAGAGTTCCCTCAGGATGTCTTTTCTTGGCCGCATCATATTTTGTTTGATCATAAAACTTTTTGTCCATTTACGATTTCTTTCCAATATGATGAACAGTATTTCAAGTAAACACCTTTTGGTTATACCATGATCATGCAATGCAAACAAAAGAAATCAATATGAACAGATTAGAGTAATGTAACATGCATGAAAAAATAAGAAAAAATAGAATAGTTAGTACCAACTAATGAAAAAAAAATCTATCTATCAAGGTATAAATCTTAACCTCATGCTTTCTAGTTCCATGCTTTGTTTGAAAAAATTAACCTAACCGCATGATTTCTGGTTCGCATGCATTTATTCAGGAAAAAGAAAAGGAAATAAAATAAATTAAAAGCTAGAGCTTATTTCTCCTTTGTGTATACCTACTAACAAAATTTCGGCATGGTTTCAGATCGGGAGAGTTTTTAGGGTTTATTATATGCAGGGTTTCAATTCTAGGAGTAAAGGTACTCGAATTGTCCTTGTTGATGCCCCCTTGGACTGCCAACCCTCAATCCTAGTCCATCACAGACTAAAGTGGATCGAGTTCAATTCGAGGGGATACACTTCTCTATGCCTGACACAGAGAATAAATTCTCACGAAGACATAGAGCATATGAATCCCGAAAGTTACTTGCTAGGTCTGACACGGAGAATAAATTCTCACGAAGATGTCACTTTCACTCCCACTTAAAAGGGACAAGCTTGATTAGAAAGCTTATGTTATGCAATTCAAGTGTTGCGTGTGAGGAGAAATATTCAAACCTTTGACAAATAATTAAATGAAAAATTTAATATATGAAAATAAAGTAAAAATATAAAATATAAAATATAAAAATTATTATGAAAATCATAATTAATAAAAATTTGAAATAAAAGAATTAAAAATTAAATAAATGAATTTTTTAATTTCTAATTAATAGAGACAATTTATAATTAATTTTAAAGTTTGACAGTCCCCAGGGGAGTCGCCAAGCTGTCGTAACCGGTTTTCGCCCGGGCACGAAATATTTATTTGGCGGGAAAAATAATATGGATAAAAAATGATTTTGAAAAAAAAGTTTTGGGAGTCACCATCGGCCTTTTGGGTCAGGTAGGTCGAATACCTAAAAATTATCTTTTAAAATAGTTTTGAATAAAACATAATTTAAAAGATAAAACTGATCTGCGTTTAACCAAAAATTCATTCTTTTTAGAAATAAAAATGGATTCGTGGTCGGTTACGTTTAGAGAATGATTAACACCCCTACAACGCCCAAAATTGGTACTTATTAATTATAAATTGTCTATATTATTGAAAATTTAAAAGTTCAAAGATATATTTAATTTATAATCCTGTTATTTTAAATTTATTAATATAATATATTAATATCTATTTTTTAAACAAGATACTTATTTACTTAGAAATATCATAAAAGGGTTTCTAGGTGCTTTAAAATAACTCTTTCCTTAAAATAAATAAATAAATATTAATAAAATATTTAAAAATAATAAAAATTAGATTAATATATATAATTGATAAAAATAAAATATTTATTTAAAAATATCATAAAATGGACATCCAGTTGCTTTAAGACTATCTTTTTCTTTGATATTAAAAATAAATAAATATTATCAATTAAACAAATATATATATATATATATGACTAAAATAATAAAATAATAATTAAAGTAATCATTTAAACATATTGGAACTGAAATGATAATAATACAAATTAAATTGCAATTAAATATTGACTAAAACATATTAAAATAATAAAAATTAAAATTTTACAGCCCTTATTTATATTATTATAAAAAATATAATTACTAATGATGTAATTAACCCTAATTATTAATAGGTGATTAAAGTGGTCATTATTAAAATTAAAGGTTCTAAATCGAATAATAAAAAGATCTAAGTGCTAATAATGTAATTTAGCCTTATTTAATTAATTCGGGTTAAAATGATAATTACTAAACTGTAAGGGACTAAATTAGGTATTTACCCTAAATAAATATATATGCAGATAGGGACTAAAATAAAATAAAATAAAATTACGAGATTAAATTAAAAGGATTAACAATTAATTCTTGTGACTAAATTGCAATGTTATGAATCTGTGGGGGTTACGGAAATGATTTTCCCAAAAGGGAAATTACACAGATACCCTCCCCCAAAACGGCGTCGTTTGGGAGAGGGTATAAATACCCCAAAACCGGTCGACAGCCGTGCTCCGACGTCGGTCACCAACGTCGGCCACCGTCACAGTGGCCGAAAAATCCCAAAATACCCCAAAACGGAGCTCTAAACCCCCTAAAGCCGAACCTAGCCTTAGTTTTCCTTAAAAATCTCCTAATCGGAGTAAATCTATAAAACAAACCGACGGTTTTACCTCGGTTTTTACACAGTTTCCGGCTATGCTTAGGCTTCTCGAGGGTAAGTCTTTTCCTTTCTTCTCTCTTTGTTTTCGATTCGCTGCTATGGGTGTTGTTTGGCTCGCTGTTGTGGCTTGTTCTTCGTCTCTCCTCTCTTTTTGCTGTCGATTATGTTTTGGTTGGTATGTTCTTCGTTCTTGCTCACTGTCTTTTCTGTCTCGTAGGTGTGGTGGCTTTTATAGCCACCTCCAGTGCTTGTCTTGGACCGGTCACAGAAGGGTTTCTCGGTGAGTCACCATAGCTATGGTGGTGACTCACCATAGAGCTCGACATGGGGCGATGACACACAGCACTTCTGGAGGCTTCATTGAGACGGCGTAGTGACAGCAAGGCGTCGGCAGCATCTGGTTGGGTCACCTGGCAGTGGAAACGTCAGCAACGGTGGCTGGATGTGGAGGTGGTGCCGCGTGGATGTTCTGGAATCTTGGAGGCGGCTGGGGGCTAGGGTTTGAAACCCTAGCATGAATGATACAAACCCTAAAGGGTTTGAGTTATCTGTTTGGGCTTGGATTGGGTCTGGGCCTCCAAGATTTGTAAAACGGGCCTCTGGGTCTTGGGCTTGTATTTTATTTAAATAATAATAATATATAATAATAATAATAATAATAATTTTAATGAAAGTGAATAATTATTGTTTACACTTTCCACAATTCCACTAGCCATTGCCGGCCACCGGGAACGGTGAGCATAGCAATCGAAGAGAGTTCATCGCCGAATCTCTTAATGAACTTATTTGGGATCCTCTGCGAGTACAAAAACCAAGTCAGAATCGAAGAGATATCACAGCATTGGTTCATCATTCAGTTTTATTGCAGAAGAAACAACAAAACATGTTCTTATTGTTCAAATGTTGCAGCTGAAACACAAATGCTAGTCTCAGTCATTGATGATTTTCGGAAATCGATTTTCGAAAATTGATTTCCGAACTTCGAAAGTGAAATCGAACCTCAAGCTTATGTACTATCTCAATTAGAGAAACTGACCCTTTCTTAGATAATGCGTAGCTTATCAACGTGGGATAACTTTTACCAACAACAATAATATCCGACGCTCGTGTTCGATACATGAATATGAAGATATGATCTTCAAAAAAATTCGAAACAGAAACGTAACTGTATCCGACACTCTCGTAAATAACATATCTCCAAAACCTCACCAAAAAAAACCAAGAAATCAAAGAGAAAAAACAGAGAGAAAGAAAAAAAATTAACTTTCTGAGTAAATTTCCCTCAGTTTCAATCTCATGGGGGAAAGATCAAAGACTGGTGTAGATGATCCAAGCCATTCTTGAGATTGGGAACTGTTTTACAGACCAAAAATGGGTTAATTATGATACAAACACCTCAAATTTCTCTTCTTTTAACTACCACAGTTCAAAAACCACTTTAAATTTGCAGAAAATTTGTAAACTTTTCCCAGGAACCAAACAGAGAGAGAAAAAACTTAACTAGCTTCTTGTCTTGAAGAATGGAGGGCACCATTAACTTGTAGAAGATGCAGGATTTGTTGCTCTTAGGCAAAGATGGACCCAATGATTGTGACATTGTTTTCTTTGACCATCAAAACTCCTGTGAGACAACAGGATTTTTATGTTTCTTTTGTATACTTTCTATGTTTCTTGCAATAATAATAATAAAAGATTGCTTCTTTTTCACGTGGCACCAACACTTGTACCCACCAACCTTTTCTAATGTGGGGCTCAAATCTATGGGTGTGCAAAATTACCCTTTTAAATTAATAATTTAGAAATAAAAAATTAAAAATCGGGTATCGGATACCCGATTACCGGATACTCGCAAAATCCAGGTACCCGATTACCGAATACCCGTAATATTCAGGTCGGGACACGGGCTGAGAAATCATCGACCCGAAAATTCCAGGTACCCGAAAATCGGGTACCCGAAAATCTGGGTACCTGAATTTGCACACCCCTACTCAAATCCACCGTACACTGAAATTTATAATTAATGGTATCTTAATTATATGTAAAATAGACAAATAATCTTTGATTACATGGCACTATTTTATTGAGTTTTTTATTATCAAAAGTTATAAAATAATCTCTCGATTATTAAAAGTTATAAAATTGTCATTCAACTATTATATATTTCAAACTTATCATTTTATGTTAAAAAATTGACTACAGTCTGAGTTGGACGTTAACCTGCTGATTGAGATATAATAAAATATGATCTTATAATCTCAAATGACTATCATATCTCAGTCAGCATGTTAACGTCCAGATCAGACAACATTTAATTTTTTTAACAAAAAATGACAAGTTTAGATCATAATAAATAGTTGAGATCATTTTGTAACTTTTAATAGTCGAGTGACTCAACAAAATAATATCCTATAGTCGAGAGACTATTTTATAATTTTTAATAGTCAAATGACTCAATAAAATAGTATCCTATATTCGAGAGACCATTTGTATATTTTACCAATTAATTATTTACGTTCAAATAGAAACATACAACACATTGTATTTTTTATTGACAATTTATATTTTAAATGTAAAAATAATATATTAAAATTGAAATTGAAATTAAATTTATGGTCAGCATTTTTTAAAACACTTGATCTACTTCGTTAAACGGCCGAAGAATAAGTGAAACGATAAAAGTTTACACCAAATCATCGATCATCAATATAGGATTGAATATCCCCCTGTTCCTGAACAAACTCGCGCGTATATATTGATATAAGGGTAAACAATACTAATGATCCCTGCACTTTTATAACACTTTCATTTTGATCACCGAAATCGGAAAAAAATCATTTGAATAATTTGGTTCATATCAAGTGAAAACATTAACACATATCGTTAAAAGAAAATCAAATAAAACAAAAAAATAATCATTAAGAAAGAATGATGGGTATCAAACACTCTTTTCCTGAATTGTCCCAATCCCAACACGAACCAAATAACAAATTCCCATGTACAGGCTATATCCACATTCCTTTAAATTTACAACATGAAAACAAAACCTATTCCCTAAATCACACTGGCAATGTTAGTTAAGACACAAAACGAAAAAAAAATACACAAAAATACGGGCGGATCCCGAAACTGGAACTTTCTAGGAGACTTTAATTTGTTTCTTGCCATGAAGTTCCTTCACAAGATCCTGCAGCTCCGGGAAAATCGATACGAGTAGAAGTTCCAATATCGCAAAAGCAAGTTGCTTCACACATATAGTAGACTGCAATGGATTATGGCATATAAATACATTCAGAAAGTCAAAACTAAAGAAAATACGAAAATATCGATGTCACGGTACATGTGGCAGACGGATAAAAACCAACCTGAGTGAAATAATAGATGTCTCTGGACACCGTCGATATTGTTTATGCCCGATCAAGCTAACTAAGGTTGTTGGAGCTCCATCTGCCGTAAAGGTCAAATCTTTTAGCGTAGCTCCAGGGAAAATACATGTAGATTTACAGATCAGTTGATCATGAGCTATTTAATAATAAACATGGTCAATGATTTTCAAAACATAAACTATATCGATAAACGAGAACAAAGTTATTCAGAAGTTTTAATTAGAAACATTTGAAGCAATGACCGAGCAGATGGCAAGCATGTAAACCACCACAGATCCTACAGTCATGGCAGATATTCTCTGACCTGATGCTGACATGATACCAGTTCACTCAAAAACATGCTTACCGAAAAGCATTTTTTTGATGTCTCTTGCCCTACGAGTAGCTTCAAGTTGTTGCTCAAAGGACCCAGGTTTAGAAGCAACACTCCCGTTAAATTGGCTGGAGGTCTCTGCAGGTGTCTGGTCCGGACGAGTATCACCAAATTTGCTATGAATGCTCTCCAATCTTGTAAAGAATGTACCGTCTGGCCACAAAACCTACCGAAAAAAATAGACAATTAATAGAAACAGAAGACTTGTTCATGGTTCTTCAAGAGTCTTTTTATGGTTCCCGTTCAAAGACAGATTTCAAGTTAAAGATGTCACCTTTAGTCCAATCCAATCATTATAGATACAGCCTTATTAAACGGGAAACCATCTAAAGTTCATATGCCGGTAGCAGTAGCGCATAATGACAAAAGTCATGCTCTTACAGCATTCGATGCGGAGCCAACTAACAGTCTTAGTTAACTTACAAAATATCTTAAAAGTGTTCAGCCCTTACATCTTGAATCCATCGAATGCCTTGGGCAACAGTGTCCTCCCTCCGAAGCCAATAGATCTGCCTCAAAAGCCAATCATCAATGGCATCCTCCATCACCAGCTGTAATATTTGCTTAGATATCCAAAAGACCTGTCTCCTTCATTAATGAAAACATGCACATGTTTATGCCAACTGAATCCAGAAATAAATCATTTTAGAATATCATAACATGACATTGAAGTTTAACAAGATAACAGTCTGATAGACCAGACAGTTGCCACCGGCTAAAAGGAAACAGGAAAAGGCTTTAAGTAGTAATTGATAATTCAGACAAACATGCCCATAACTTGATGCATTTAAATCCATGTTAAAAGATTGAACAACAGAAGAGTCGAGAAATTATTATTTTTACTAGTTCCAAGAAAGGTAATCAAGTCACCATATCAACCAGTTCACCCTATCCTTTGAAACTGCAATGTATACGGTTTGAATAAATGAAAAAAATATGACTAATGTGACAACATATTTTACAAACTACTCAAAATTACAGGTAAGCAAACATTAGTGACACCAAAGAACAAGGTCCAATATCAATTTACGTGAAGCTCTCTAAAATTATAATTACTGAATAGTAGAATACAACATTTTAGCAATTAATTAATTCAAAACTATGGAAAAAAATAAAAAAACTTAGCTCACCGTAGCCAGCCTCTTCTCTTAAGCTGAAACACCTTATCAACTAGATTCAGCAAAGGTACGCTCACATTAGGAGGTGTCCACTGCACAAAATTCGATTAGTAAATATTTGAAGCTTCCAGGTATTGGTTGAGAAACAATGTCTTAGAATAAGCTAAAATCATATTACCAGTAGGAATTAAAAAGATAAATGAAATAAAATAAAAACATAGCTGAATCTAGTTACCTCAGGAGGCATTCCAACTGGATCCTCCAAATGGCTGGAGGTCGCCGAAAATTTTACTCCAGGAAATCCACCCTGGCCAAGCAATTCAGGTTTAACAACCTGTTTCTCAGAAGCTGAATTGCTGCGCTCTCCATGTTTTATCACCTGTGGCTGCAAACACTTTGAGTTCAATTCATCGTCTGAATGCCAGCCGTGACCTTGTAAACCAGATCTATCATCCAGAACATGGCTACCATCTTTGTCACCTAGTTCGTTATCAGAAATGTTATTCATTGTTTCTAAGTTACTTTGCCTAGAAATGTCTTTAGCCATCTCATCTGAATGCCATGGCAAGGTCCTGTCAGCAACTGAAGAAGAAGCTTCACTAGGGAAAGAAGATGAACCAACTACTTTGCGCATTAACCCATCTGATACCCCTCTAAATTGACGTACAATATCATCCATGGCATCATCCCATTGACTGTTCATAAGAATTGGAAAAAAGTCAGGAATAAATCTGTAATATTCAGCAAGAAATCGGCCAAGTTAAAACAAAATTCAAACCATAGTGGTAGAATCAATCAATAACCATGAGATCCATGTATGATTTACAGTAAATTGGACAAGGATAATCATTTACCATTCTAAGATAATAGGCCATAGGACAACCAAGCATATAGATTCAAATATTAATGAGACACTAAAGAGTTCACAGTCACAAGACTAACAACACAAATATGATATTATTTTCAGATAACTTAAGAACAGTAATCACCTTAACAGGTAAAATGGAAAAGACTGCATTTCACCAGCCAATTGGCTTAATGATAGGTGCATGAGTCCCTTCTCAAAAAGACAGGTTTGCATGCCTTTTATATAAGAACCAGATGCAGAATTTTAACCAAGTAACAAGATAAGTAATTCTCTGAAAGTTGAGATAGGTAGAACACGTCATTGTAAAAAGTGAAATAACTAATACTGCTACACCTCATCTACCAAACAAAATTCAACTTCAGATGGGAAGGTAATGCACATTGCATTCCTAAACTTATAGAGGCTCACTTGGAGCATCTCTAAACCGTTTATTCTGGACAATCTTGATGTGATGTAGTATACCACGGTATGCAACATATCTAATGTTGGCAACAGCTAGAACCCAAATGTATAAACAGCAAGAATAGCATGGTAAGTGGATAACCAAGAAGTGGAACAACATACCTGCAAGGGATTTCATCACTGATGAAGATTTTCCAAAAGCATAATTCTTCAAAAGCAAAAGAAAACCACAAGAAGAATCAGAAATCATTCATCCCACCCATAAGAAACAAAGTAGCACCATATGTCACAAAGATACACACCTTAGAAGAAACACTTAAAAATCCCACACTTCATGCTGTTCAGCCACATTAGCTATAGACAACAGATCCTGCCAAAAGGTAGCTTAATTGAAGCAACAGGTTTAAAAGTAAATATACTACCAAAAAAGTGACTTACTTGCAGATATTTGTGAAGCTGAATGCAGCGCTGGTGACTAAAGCGTCCTCAGTGCTTGATGAAATATTGTTTTTG